AGAGCTGAGAAAAAGTGGCAACAGACATAAAAAAAAAAAAAAAAAAAAAAAAAAAAAAAAAACAAAAAAAAAAAAAAAAAAATAAACATATCTTAGTAAAACCAATACCTTCTCAGCTTCGCATCGAAGCTAATAATACCTTCTCAGCTTCGCATCGAAGCTAATAATACCTTCTCAGCTTTGCATCGAAGCTAATAATAAGTTTACCTTCAAAATCACTAACATGAGATAAACTACTGTTTTTTCTTTCTTCTTGGTGTATCGCACTCATTTTCTGTAGAAGAGATTTCAATTTTGAAATGCTGATGCCATGCCATGCCATTTGAAATTTGCTAAGTTACCAAAAACAATTAAAATTTGAATTACAAGTAAGATACCGATATAAAGTTTTTGTTAATTTTAATTATTTCTAACAAAAAAAGTTTTTAAATTTATATGAAAATACTAAGTATTAACCATACATTTTATTATTCAATATTTTTATTTTGAATGAAGATCATAAATTCCAAGGATCATCAGCTTTAAAAATTTCAATGCTTTTAATCTTAAAGGAAAGCTTACGACAAAACTGTATATCTGATAGATTTAATATTGTTATTTCTAACAGTGTTGGTGCAATAAGCGAATTAATAGGCACAACGCTATAATTTTTAGTTTCTATGAATATAACAATAAACCATTGCTTAAATGATCTGGTCTAAGTGTAAATGAAAACAAAATTAGTGATATTCATAAATATAAATATATATAAATTAAAACCCAACCCTCATACTTTGTAGTTGGTAAATAATACATGAACTTACTTTCGAAAACTTCATCAGTTTTTTCGTATACATTTGGAATTATATTTAATACAATAAATATAAAACACACAGAAATCTAAAAATGTATTACGAGTACACATGCGAATTCTGCAAATAAATTTAACAAATTCGACGGCCATATAAAACATTAAACGGCTGGCAAAAAGGATATTAACACACACACGAATCAACGAATTATTATGTCTAATAATAGTATAATGGTTGGTAATTCTTAAAATAATAATTTTTGACAGAAAAATACATATAACACTTAAATGTTATTGTGAAACATCGTAGGGCAGTATTGAAATTTGAATTTGAAACGTTGTAGAAATAAAACAAAGTTAAATATTACGGGCAGTTGCAATGAAACAGCTTTTGATTGATTTTGAAATATTGCAATGTGATGTTTCAAAAGTAACAAGAAATATACATTCCAGAGATGTTGGAAACATCAAATGTTTAGTGGATAAATTAGAACTCTCATTTTATGCGGGCACAATTATTATTACTTTAAAATCCATGGACTTTATACTATGGTTTATGCTAAAATCTTACTCTGTGGTGATAATTCACCACCAGTTTTTATTTTTTATGGGTTAACCCATAAATAAAAATAATTATTATTATAACATAATAAATAAGATCTTTTCTATTCTGTGTTATTACCGTCTTTTACACTAATAAAAAAAAAAAAAAAAAAAAAAT